TTAAAAAATTCTACACTGAAACATTTGAGAGTATATATAATTTTTCAGAATATGGTGAGTGATAATCCAGAAAAAATGGTCTTAATTTGAACAGCCAAAATATGAGCAGTGGTATTCTATAATTGTGTTTCAACAGATTCTGGCCTATACATGTTGAATAAAAATAGAAAAATAATAGACTGAAATTTCTATTTGCTTCTATGAGCCACTGTTTCCTCCCTATCCTTTCCTCTTTCCATACAAAGGAAAAATTAAGTCAAAGTTTTATGAACTTTGCCATTTCACATAAAAATCTATAATGTAATTGAAATACTTCCTAAATCCTATAAAGAATAATTATCTGTATAATTTAGTCAAAAAGCTGCCATTTGTTTTGATGACTTTTTGTAGATGTATCATGATGTAGATGAAATGCAGCTTTGAACTCTTAACGATTTTAAATGGGAACAAAGATGTTCAACTCTGATGTCCAAAGTAATGATAAATCATTTGTTACAAAGATAATGGCATTGAAGGTTAAAATCTTTTAGAGGCATAAATAGAAGATCATTCTCTAGATGCAGCTGAGAATCTTGGTTAAGAGGTTCAAATTTAAGATTATGATTCAAAGCAAATGGTTAGTCTCATGTCTATGCAAAACAGAAGCTTTTCCACTACTTATTAATAGCAGTAGTAGCAGGTAATAAGGCTCAAGTATTAGGGAGGTGAAGACATCAAATAAAGAAGTATTTTGATAGCTAATGTATAAAAATATGAAGTGCTGTTATTTTAATTACTGATTTTTTCCAACTGTTAATGTATTTTCTTTTGTTTGTTTAAAAAAATACTATATTAAATCAAAGATGACAATTAACTTTTGCTAGCTAGAAAAGAATTTCAACTGAAATAATTTTAGGTTTTATAATGTCAACAAAGAAGAGGAGATACTGCCTGTCTTCTTGTTCCATATTCATGGAAGAGTGGTAGAGCTGAATATTAATATAACATTAGTAATACCTTTTTCTCATAGAGTTTTTGTATGCACTATATCACTGAAAATCCACTGGTCTATCTATATGTTTGTGCATAGGTGTATATAACATCAGAGAAGAAAATCCCTTTTATGCTACCTCTCTGTGCAACTGAAATCTTTATGAATAGCAATGTCTGCTTCCACCCTGCATGCCTGCTAGTGTTTTTTTTAATCAAGAGATGAGGGGGCAGAATGACCAAAATTTTTATCAAGTTTCTATATACTAGCAGCTGTAAAATGGAGCTGTACCATTTCTTTGGCTTTGAAGTAAGCAAAGGTAGATATAGTCCCAAATTGGATTAGATTGTCCATTCTTTGTTGAAAGCTAGAGCATGCAGAGCATACTTTGGATTAGGAATTCGTATGCCTTCTCTAGAGACAGCAAGCGCTCCCTTCCTTTACTATTTTGGAGCAATGAAGGAGGAGGTAGCTCTGATAAAATTTTTAGCTTCTAGCAAAAGATACCAGCCTTGCTGAAATCAGATTCTGCTAGGAGGCCAGAAGAGTGTAGGATTGGGTCCTGCTGAGCTTAGACAGCAAAGCTCTCCAAATGACCTTGGTGCCTCACTATTGCAAAACATGATGACCATGCATTTGGTATTAAAGGAAAATTCTAGTAACAGTAGGAACCACATGGATTTGAAGTTCTCATTCACTTCTGTCCCCAGTGGACTGGCAACTCCAGAAAGTGTGGACTACTTTAGAGCACCCAGGAAAATTGTGATATACATTACATTAGTTACTGTAATAGTCAGCTTGAAGAACTGAGATAGGCACAATCAAATCACATAGAAAAATTTTCAGTACCTTTTCCACTCCTCTGCTGTCTGGTTCCCTTGTAGTAATCTAAGCAGCAGGACAGCCTTGGTGTGGTGAGACAAATGTCTTGAATAAGAATGATTTCCTGAACTAGGTCATGTCATTGTTTACTGACAGGTTCTTGCATGTGTACATGTTCACGTGTGTTGGAGCTTTTCCTCTTTCCTCAAATAGAAAAGGAACTCATTCTGGGTTGCAGGTTCCTCTTCAACTCAGCATCTGAACAATTTACTAAGTGCCAAATACAGTGAGTATAGGCTAGGTTTCTCAGTTGTATATTTTGGACACCTTGAAAGTAAACATTTGTCAAAGCCTTGGGAAAGAAAGAACAAGTCTTCAGAACTCTCTGAGGAGTAACTTTCTTCCCAGTTGCCCAGAATCACAGAATGGTTTGGTTTGGAAGGGACATCAAAGCCCATCTAGTTCCAAGCCCCTGCCATGGGCAGGGACACCGTCCACTAGACCAGGTTGCCCAAAGCCCCATCCAACCTGGCCTTGAACACTTCCAGGGAGGGGGCATCCACAGCTTCTCTGGGCAACCTGCTCCAGTACCTAACCACCCTCAGAGTGAAGAATTTATTCCTAGTATCTAATCTAAATCTCCCCTCTTTCAGTTTAAAGCCATTGTGCCTTGTCCTGTCACATGTTGACAAAGATCATCTGACCTTCCAATGGTATTCTTGAGAAGAAAAAATTAGACATATTTGGGGCTGATTTCATGTCAGCAAGTATTTTTCTGAAGTGAAGAGTTGATTTGTACTGTATTTTTCATCCACGTGGTTTGATAAAAATATTTTTCAAGAGGCCTGGAAGCTAGAATCTTACATCCGTGAGTTCTGGGTACAGACAACAGGCAGTTTGGTTTCTTTCCTGTCTGATCCTCTTCAGAAGCATCTTTGGCAAGATGTAAAGGAATCAGTTACCCACATTCATTTTGCATTAAATGAAACAACCATAGAGTTCAAGTGATGGGTGTTCAACTCATTATTTCTTAAGGCTGAAGAAGAAACTGGATTGACTTCATTTGGCATCTTTGAAGTCCTTCAGCTGCTTCAATTACTTTGAGACTCCCAGCTATTATGAGTAAACCTTTCATCAGTTTGAGAGATAAGGACTAGATTTATGCCTTTTTTTGTTGTTGTTTGGTGAAGAAATTAGTCTGATAGTCACAGCACACTGGCGACTGCAGGTGTCACAGGTGGATCTTCCTCAATTCTCAATTCACTATTTGTTTTTTTCCTGTTGGCTTTCGTGCAGCACAGCAGCAGTCATTTTTGCTGATAAGCTTTGGTGATATCAACACTCAATCTCTGCTATTGCCAGCAGTCTTCAGCTGCAGTCCACTGCATCATGGAATTAATGCCACATAATTGAGTATGTGCTTTAAGCATGATCTTGGAGCATTTTGGTGGCCTACTTCTCAGCTAGTTACCATATTTTAATCAGACATTACAAAAAATGTTTGGGATAATCCATTTTGGGCATCCTAACAACATGCCCAGAGCAGCTGAAGTGAGCCTGCAAGGTGGTAACTTCGTTGGTGTGTATTTGATAGCATGCTAATCGGTGTTCCGGTCTGTATTTTCATTTATTACACTAGCAAAGAGCCACAGATGGAATTTGAGATATCTGACACAGTGACTGTAAGTTGTCCAGATATTACAGCTATTAAGAATGATTATGATGACTGTCATATGTGTTGCTTTTGCTTGAAGTCTTTCATTTCAGGGGTGCTGCTTTTATCTGCTAAGGCCGCTCTGGCTTTCATGATCCTCCCTAGGACTTTGTCATCAATAAGGTGTTCTGAGACACACTCCTACTCAAATAGAAGAATTCCTCTCCAAATGTCACTGCTGCACCATCAGTTTTTATTATTAGCCTGACATGCTTTTCACCATAGCTGGAATAGGATCTCTGTTTTCTATATACTGACGCTGAGGGTAAATTATTTGGTAGTGCAATTGAAACAGTCAGTACTATGTTGAAGGTTCTTTTGGCTGGAATTCCTCAGCCCCAAAGTAGGTATTTAGGGTTGTTTTAGGTCTGTCTTTGTCAGCAATTTATTCTACCTAGGCCCCTGACATTTTTTATACGTGCCTGGTGAGCACGCTTAGAGAGATGTCTGGAGATGCATAAATATCTAAGGTTTTCTCTTGCATGTGGACCACATATACAGGAATCTAGGCAACTAAATAACAAATAAGACAACAGAAGTATTATCTGCCATTTTCCAGATGCCCAAGTTCCACTTTTACTGCTTGCATCATGTTCTTTCTAGTATTGAGACCGTGGGAGCTCTCACAGACACCTGGGAAGTTGGTCACCTGGGGTAGCAATGAAGTTATGAAGTAAATACAGAAGTAAGACGCAGGAGTGGGCGGTGGCATTTTTGTTGGATCTTCTTGTTGCTGTTCGGGAGTATCCCAGTGTGCATTGCTGCTTATGAATGGGAACATTTCTTAGTCGTTTTCTGGTTTATTTATGTCTGTTCTTGCATCTGTAAGTCTGTTAGTTGCTGTAGCAACACTTCCCCCCCCCCCAAAAAAAAAAAAAAAAGGTAAAACTTGTGGGTTGAGGTAAAAGTTTAATAGTACAGAAAAGGAAGACAATAATAATAATAACAATAAAAGAATATACAAAATCAGTGATGCACAGCACAATTTCTCACCAACTAAAGCCAATACTCAGCTAGTTCTCCAGCTGAACTGCCTCTCAAATTTTTCTGAAATTTGATTTCTATGAATTGTTATTAACTTTTGTGGTTTTTATTATTCACGTTGGCCTAGCAATTAGTAATCAGTATATTAGCCACTGGAAAATATCAATTTTATTACGACCATTTAGCCTGGTTTCTGTATCAAACAATAGTAATCAGAATTGACTTTGTACAGAAGAAACACAGATTTTTAATAGAACAGAAGCATATAGTGGGTCATTTTTTTGGTGTTTTGTTTTGGGGTTTTTTTTGGGGGGCAGATCAACGAGATAGAACAATTAAGATAAAAACTGTATAGACAATGACTGATGGGATGATAAACTGAGAAAAGAACATGGTGAATTTTCTCAAAATGTGAAATTGTTGCTGCTGAGCTATTCTTTGAAATCTTTTAATAAAAAACCCCCAACGTTTTAACTAATTATCTCATATTGATTTCATTCTGATTTACAGAAAATTTCACCTTGGGTAGGTTTACGCAAGATCAACATCTCCTACTGGGGATGGGATGACATGTCTCCTTTTACAAATACAACTCTGCAGTGGCTTCCTGGAGAGCCGAATGACTCTGGCTTCTGTGCCTATCTAGAAAGAGCAGAGGTGGCAGGTCTGAAAGCGAATCCATGCACCGCAATGGCAGATGGCCTTGTGTGTGAAAAACCTGTCGGTAAGAAATCTCTTATACTCAGTTACCGCTACTGTCGTGATGGTAAGGTGTTTGGGTTTTCATTTGGCTAAGAGGGATTTTTGGACGTTTTGGGTTAAACAATTTCAAAAATATTTACTTTTTTATTTTTTGAAAAATATGGAGCTTTAATCTAGAAAACAAATCATATTCCTAAAGCAGTAAATATTTATTTGTAAATTAGTTTACATGGCTTAGTTTGTATTACACCAGAAGTCTTACAAGTTACCTCTTAGTCAGTAGTAGTCTGTAACAACAGTGATTGTAGTGCGCGAGCATCTGTGGAGGTGCTCAACAAGGCTGATGTTTTCTTTTTGAATCTTGCTGAACATCAGTGAACATTTTAATGGTCTAAAAGACTGACAAAACTAAAATTCTTGTTTCTGTCTTTTATGTTTGTTTGTGTATAAAGATCGCAAACAGTCACTTGACAGTTCAAATTAGCATTTTCATGCTCCAATTGTCCTATGTTTCCCTTCATAGCTGTGAGGATTGAGCACGTGACGTTCTTTAAGTTTCTCATTCAGATTTATTTTGTGCATTGTCTGTGCAAAAGTGGAAAATATCTGCATATATATGTGTTGGGAACACTGCCTATCGATCTGATGTTTTTTGCTGTGAAATTGTCAGGGTTGTTAACTTGCATAATCAAAGTGTGATCTTACCAATGTTTTATTTTCTTATAAGCAATTACAAATAGTAATGTATTTGCAAACTAAATATTGTACACTTGTTGCTACTGCCATCTGTGTTTCTTAAAAATTTCATCCTTCATAATGCTCTTAATTTTGAGTTAGTAGTTAAGTATTTATCAGATGTTTATCAGAACAGTAAAAGATATATTCACAATGGAAGAGACATTTCAAAATGTAAAGGATACACAAGGTGGAACAGAAATGACATTATTAAGATGCAATATTTTACGATTAGATCAACATTATATGCATCTGTTACTCGTGTGTTGTTTTAGGTGGGTTCTTCAGGTGCTTCAAAGACTGTAGAAATCAAAGAGCTTCAACCTTATGAGAATAATTCTTAGTTAAGATGATTTTTGTTAGTTTTTTCTTTGTATTTTTTATTAATTGCAAACCACAGCTTGAATACGTACATAGCAGGTCAAATCCAGGAACAACCTTGGTGAAGTGATTTGGCATACTATATTAGCAAATGAAGAATGGCTTGAGAACTTGGCTTGTATTGAATATGAGTCAATAATATGCAAAACATAGGAAAGCTTAATCCTAATGTTTCACAAGGTGCTTCTGTATGGAAAATATAGTGCTATGTATGCTTTTGGGTTCCTACCTAAGAATTACTATGCTGTTGTTCTTGTACACTGTACAGTTTTATTTGAAATCAAAACACAAATCAGGAGTTAGGTATACAACTTCTTTTTGTGTGTTACAGCTTTTTGAGATGACATACATCACTATCCTAGTAAAAATGTGGTCTCTAGTAGAGAAAAACAAATAAAACCCAAACCAACCAAAACAAAAGCCCAACCAAATCTGTTTTGTATTGAACAATGTTTCACTTGTTACTTAGGATTCTAGTGACTTTCATATCTACACTATAAGGCAAAATTTTAGGGTATAAGTCATAAGCAGAATATTTGTTGCTTATACACTGTTAAACTAATGAGAACAATAGACCCAGAACTCTACTGTACTTGATACGGAAGTCTGGGACTTATTTTGTCTCATGTATGTACAAGTAACTAAGCTGACATTACCAGGCACTTAATATTAAATTTACTATTTCAGTATATGGATAAAATTACTGTGGAAATATTTAAGTGGACTCTTTAGAGCTCTAGTATGACTCATGCTGAATATTACTTAATAATTTTTATAAAATATTACTGTATTTACATACTGCATTGTAAGTTTGGACTGAATTATTTATAGTTAATTAAGGAAGCAACCGCTTCCACTTTAACAAGAATTTTTCTATTGGGACGTATGATTAAAGAAAAAGGAGATTGCACTTGTGTTCAAAATTATAAATGTTTGTGGATCTTTTCCAGTTAGTCCCAACCAGAATGCCAGACCTTGCAAAAAGCCATGCTCCCTGCGAACAACATGTTCTAACTGCACGAGTAATGGTATGGAATGTATGTGGTGTAGCAGTACAAAACGTTGTGTTGACTCAAACGCCTATATAATCTCCTTCCCATATGGACAGTGTCTAGAATGGCAAACTGCCACATGCTCCCGTGAGTATCTTAATGAACCTTTATTCTATTAAATATGCCATTGTATTTTTTCCACTGATAAGAGCATCTATATGAGTAGGATTCAGCACATTCACTAAAGATAAAAATAATTTCAGATTAATCATCTCCTATATCTACTGTTGTGAGCAGTCAGTACTGTGTATGCATTTTCTAGATACAAATAAAATATTGGTAATTCTTTTATGATGAAAGATATTTAGTCTGTTAAAACAGATAGTAAAAGTGTTTATTGTTTTCAGATAAAGAAAAAATATCATGGTTATTTCTGCAACCAGCATTAGTTTGTCAAATAATGGCAACGAGTTGGAACAAAATACTGTTAAAATTAGAGAAGTAATATTCAGACCTTAGACTTATATCACATCAATTTATTTAAAAAAGGAGATGACCTGAATTCAGAGGTTTTAAGATTCTGATTTATTTTGTCAGTAGATTCAAAATAGTACATTTTCCTAGTGTGCAAAGTTAAAAACAAGGCAGGTGAGTTCTTTGTCAAGCAGTCAAGGTACTCCCCAGATGTCCCCTTTGGGAGCACATTTCATTAGAATTTGATACAATGCCTGTCTAAGAGAGTAATAAACCTACTCAATGTACCTTTCAGTATACCGTTTAGCTAAAGCTATTTCTGCCCATGTCTGTAGTGACTGGACTTTAAGTTCAGCATCATGCTGTTCCAGTGTGCGTTGGTGCCATAATTCATGTTGATGCTGGAGCAAGTGGCCTGGTGCTTTAGATTCTTGTCTCAGTCGTGGTTTATTTAGAAGAATTCCTCAATTGCCATCCTACAGGTTCTTAGTATTTTTCCTGTCCTTCAAGACTTGATGAAAATATTTCCTACCTGTAAAGGACTTCAATCCAAACTTAATATATAGGACTTCAGAAGTGTACCGTTGAACTCTCCTTGTTGCTCTTCTCTGTGAGGGTGTTTTTCTAGTTACTTGTGACTTCCTTTCCCTCTCTGTAAGGGTCTTTGATATCAGCATCTCTGGAACATTTTGTTTCTGGATATGTTGTGGCAGGATTGATGATGCTGTCCAACAAGAAGCAACTTGCTTTAGGGTCATAATTAGACCATTATTCCATTTAATAGATTATGGATGCAAATACAAAAGGTAGTTACTTGCTTTCACCTAAGCCTCAGGAAAATATTAAGTAAAATAAGGTCCTACCATATCTGTAATAGGAACCATTGATATATTCTAATCTTAGGAGAGAATAATGGCTTTATGTACCAGGCCACTACATATATCTGGGTTAAAGGAAAATAAGGCATAGGAAAATTCTTCTTTCAGGTAAAACTAGCCAAGCATAGTGGAACTTGCAAAGCCTGTATTTTTAACTTCATAGAGATTCCTTCTTCATCCTTAGTAATCCTAAAATATAACAAATCATTACAATGTTGATCTGTTCTGGTACATTTTTATGCTTAGTAAATTTCAAATATTAATGCAGGTTCTAGTGTCCGGGTTCAGTGTAGACGGGAAGTAGGGTTTATGTGTTCCTTGGGTCCTTATGTCTTCTAAACCCAGCCATCAGCCCACGTTTGGTCTAAGAGCAAAGAAATAATAGGAGCACTTAATCTCTTCTACCATATATTTCAAATAATAATACTGTAATTATGTAAAGGTTTCTTTCTCATAACAGTTCACTAAACATTTTTTCACTCCTATAAGGAATCAATTTTGCAACTTATAAAATATTGATAGAGAGTTGTAGCAGAAGATAAGTAGATTCACGATTTGGAGATAAAATACACCGCCACATGAATGATGCTTAGGTTTTTAAAATAGCATATATTATTTCAGTCTGAACTTTTAATTCTGTTTTGTGTTGTATTTGCACATCATGCAGATTCAATTTATTTGGGGAACACAAAATTTTTTTAAAATTTAATTTTCATTTTTGTGAGGTCTATAAAAGTTTACATTAAATAAGGCAAAGGGGATTTGCTGTATACCAGTTCATCATTATATAAAGCAGTTTTGTATGAAAAATGTATTTTCTATTCAACAAATTAAAGAAAAAACCCATGTCTCTAAGCAGGTTTTTTTTCAGCATTTAAAGCATTAGATATTTTGCATTTAAACAAGAAAATGAATGTCCAAATGAAACTGGTTCAGATGTTGTTTCAGTCTAAATGACTTGAAAATTTTATTAGGTAGATATATCCTTATGGCTGCTGAGGTAATGAAGTATTAAGTGGATTCCCTTATCAAGGGGGGGTAGTGTTTCTACTTGAAGAATGGAATATAACTATACCTTTAAAAAAATCCTCTTTTTTTTTTTTAAATTTTATTTTTATTCTGAACAACTAATTTCTGACTTTTTGGATGTTTTGCTCTGAATGAACAAAACCCCCCAAACTTCACACAAGCATGTGTGACTTACAAGAAAAAAAAAAAAATAACAACTGAGAACTTCACATTTGTTTTCACAACTTGGAATTAAAATGAAGAACACTGCTTTATTGGTGACACTTTGTCATTTTAATACCTGCTTGCCAAAAAGTTGCATTCCACTCTTCCCCACATCTTCCATTCATTATGACTTTTGATTGAATAGCTGACAGTTGAATAATCTTAGACCATCTCTAGAATTTCAAAGAAGAAAAAAAAAAAATCTGCTTGAATATCCCCTTCTTCCATAAACAGCAACTTCTCAGTTAGCTCTCTTCAGTTTTCCAGCTGAATGCCACTGCAAAGAATATCTGAAGATTTTCACTTTTGGTTCTGTTTTGTCTTCTATGAAGATAGTGCAGCTGATACTTCAGAGCTCTTTTCTCCTAGCTCTATAAATAGCAGCATGAGAATTGTTTGGAGCATTTACAGTGCATCTCTGAAAGGACAAGCCAGCCAGTACAGAATGGTGGTCTTTATCTTTCTGCTGATCTTCTAATGTATTCAAAAAACCAAAATTTGTATCATTCAGCTTCAGATCTGATGAGGTTTGGTTTAAAACTGATTTGTGTCACATGATTGAAGTTGATTTCCAAGCACAGTTGAGCTCCTTTTTTTTTTTTTTTTTTTTTCTTTTTCCCCCTCCCTTTTTCCATATTTGGGAAACTTGAAACATTTCCTCCTACTCAGCCTCTTCCAAGTCTAATGATACAAGAGCTCATACTCCAACTTTCTGTGCTGTTATAGTCCTTTTGAGATGTCATTCAGATTAACTGCCTGTTTTCTTGATATCTGCATGTATCTTTAGACTATTGGAGTATTTTTTCTCTGACAACTTTCATTACTTTTAAACAATTTTAATAGTTGTTGAGGTCAGAGTAGCTAGTTTTCTTATTTAATTAGAAATTAAATTGTTCTGCTTAATATAGCCTTTAGGCTATTTAGGTAGGATCTTCCTGGAGTTCATGTATGCTTTTAAATTTTATTTTTTAAGTGTCTACAAAATTAATGTGAGAAGAGACAGGGACCTGTAGTGTTCGATGTTCAAATGATTCAGATGTTAACTTGATTCAGTGTTACAACATTAATTTTAAAAAAAATTAGATGTAGCTGAAAAAAGCTCAAATAAACTTGTGAAGTCTAATGGTGTTCCTGAAGATACTAAATTGTTAATTTGTTATTAAGAAGAAATGGCAGTAACTTCAGAATATGAATTTTATTTGGTTCAAAACAGGTTTCTTAAAATATGAGGAAGGCCATTTCTATGAGAAATTAAATTATTTAAATAAAGAGTATAAAAGAGCTAGAAGGGGATTTAATTTTTAGTATGCAAATTAAAAATGAAACCTTATTTACTCTAACAGATGACACAAGGTATAGTTCAATTGAATAGGATTGAATTATGACTTGTAGCTTATGAATTTTTTTAT